AAATGTTCAAAATGTCAGTTCCTCTTGATGATATATGTAAGTTGCACAAAAAATTGATTGCATTGATAAGAGAGATCTGTTCATTGTAGGTTTCGTAAAAAAATTGGTGCCTTTTATGTATCAGATTCAATTTTTCTAGATGCGTCTTCAAAATTATTATCTAATTTGGGGAATTTTATGGCTCGAACCCACCCAAGTACCTGAATTTATAGTGGGACTATGAATGTTTTATCGAGAGGCATAAAGAAAACGAAGATATTGTGCTTTGGTTTTTATTAAAAATAGGACTCGCTGTATTCTGATAGGCATACGTTATGCTCTACAATTGACGACCACTCCAGACGGTGGAACAGAAAATGTACTGTCAGGGTTAAAAATTAATCTAATCCATGTACGTATATCCGGATATATCGGACTGCTTTAACTTTATTTGGCTTAATAATCATGCAAATTTTTTATACCTAAAATTGCATTAGCATCCCCCTTTTGTCTTGATTCTGTGCATTTGCTTCCAGAATTGCTACACTAATTTGGTGATTAGATCTCTAGGAAATCTTCGCAGGATTTCAAATCTCATTATCACATTGTTTTTATTTATCAGACTGTAAACTGATAATGTTACGTCAGATAAAACTGTTCTTTTGCAGCCAAATTCGAAAATGGTATTAATTCTCTTCACTGGAAGTATGTAGGAGATAGCAAATTCTTTTGAAGTCGGAATCATTTCGTTATATTGATACAACACAAGGCATAAATCAACCGCTTTAAATAAACACTGAAGGAACACACAGAAAATTCATATCTCTAAAGCCTCATTGCATTACAATAACAACATTAAAAGTAAACTACCAAATCTCCTGTGAAAAAATACTTAATATGATATCTCATGGGGTTTATATGTATCAGATATATCTATAATTCTTTGCATCGCAAGCAAACTAGTGTTGACATAGAAATTACAACTATGCAAGCCCCCGGGAGGCCTCGGGGTTTTACACGACTTTTCTGTCGGTAGATCGATGTTTGGATCCTATGGTGCATGAGATCCTTGTAGTTCCCCTCACAATCAGGTGCATTCATCAGTGCTAGCATCCAAACGGGAGCCTCCACATCTAAAACCATACTGTAGATATTACTAAAATAAAAAATATGAATGCTCGATCGCTTAATTAAATGTGAAGTGTTTAGAAATGGGATTTATTTTGCTTTCATTCATTAATCAGGTGAGTGCTTTTTCTTTTACAATGTGTAATTTTTAGTATGCATGATACTTTATTTAAAGATGGGATAATAAGACAGTATAGGAATAACCCGTTTTATTTGTTGCAGTTTTTGGGTCCAGATTGGCTCTATAGCACATGTCTTTTAAACTGTTTTCTGTATTTTTTTTAATGTACCTCAAGAATCGAAATATTGTTTACTGTTTAAAAGTTTCTACAAATGGCTATTTAGAATAATTGAAACAATCTTTTCCTGTCACAAATTATTATTCTCAATAGTTCTTAAAGACATAAACGAGATGCATTGATTTCAATCCCTTGCTTCTTCAGAACAAAATTCTGCAGCGAGAACAATCTCTCTACGCTTATTAAAGTTTGCCAGATATAGGCCTATCATAAAACACTGGGTTTTAATTAGGGTAGAGAAAGGTGGGCGTGTTCCCGTATACTGTGTTATGCTTTTGTTTCAGTGTTTGCAGTGGAAGTTATTTTATGTTTGTATAGAACCGCTCAATTAAATCGACATAATTACACGCACTTACTATACGATAATGAAATGTAACTGTAAGTTTATGTACATGGCACGCAACAAAACAATATTATCATGCGTCATAGAGAACAATAAAATTTTTAAAAAAAGTTTTGCAACATGAGTACTTTTTAAAAAAAAACATTACTTTCTTTTTTGTTTTTTTTAATTGGCTTTAGAACGTTTTCTTACTTAAAAAATCTCTTGGACAAATTAATAAATCTTTATTCTGTGGTTGGGAGTAAATATTTATCAAGTATTTTTTGTTCTTCATATAGCAATTTCATTTCTTTTTTTAATCATAGTAGGAAAAATGTACATTAGACGATAAATGGAGAAAGGTTAATAGATATTAAAAAAAAATAATTATCAATGATAAAAGATTATTGTTGCAAGTTAATTATACAGCTAATCAAAAAAATTCTGTCAAGGAAAAAGCTATTAAATTCAATTAGAAATTGCTATGCAGATGAAAATTCCGTCAATATTTGTATATTTTCTTAATTCTAGGTATTTATCTTTATTTTTCCCCTTGTTTTTTTCTATTTTATTTGCTTTTTTTGTTTGTTTTACTGTGTTTCTGGGTGAGCTTTGGAAGAACATTGAAATCATTAAATTAGATGCATTTTACAGAGAAATTGTTAGTAGAAGATTGTTACTCATTGTGAGAAAAAAGTTCAGTGTTTTCATTGGTCTTAATTATATGAATGGTAATACGTGTTTATTATTAAATATTCATTAAACCAATCACAAATGTCATTTTCTCTCTCTGAAAAAAAAAGCGTGTTTGGTGTCATTGATTAAGAAAAACTGGAAGTGATTGCCGTATTGGAAGATAAACCTTCTAAAACTGTCTGGTAGCTAAAGCTGACCAGTTGAACTCAGTTAACCTCAGCATTTTGAGGTAATGAAAAAGACGTAAATTTACAGATCACGAGCGAAAGATAGTTCCTCCGTGCATCTAATATTCTTAACCTTGTAAATTTCTAATCAGACATATAGCCCTCAATATGACGACGTGTTATAGCTTTTTGACGTGCAAGTGCCAACTCATTTATTCAAAGCGAGGATAAGCATATCAAAAATGTATCACCTGTTTATGTTTTGGCACTAAAAAATATTGAGAAAGTTACACTTGTAAACATGTGAAGAACTAAAGATCCATCTAATTTTTTTTTATTTGTTTATTTCATCTGAAAGAATTTATATTTTATCATTTTTTCTGTTTTCTGTGCTGTTTACCGTTTAAAAGAAGTAATTCGTAATATTACGAAACAAAGCTTATGGAGATTTTGTTCTTGTAGGTTGAGAAATCTTTAATGTTTGGAATTTATTGATGAAAATAAATACATTCCCGCTACGATGGATATCATTTGTACGTCATTAAAGTAATAAAATGCTTCACTCCTGTGCAATAAAAAATTGTTGGCTATGAATAAAATATCTGCATTATAGTGTTGGGGTTATTAACCCAAGACGAAGTATATTCTTTTAATTTTTTATTAGCTTTGCTGTGAAGCAAACTTCGTAATTTTGCATTAAGTAGTGTAATGCAGCTTCACTAATAATAAACTCTTTCAATAAATTATTATTATTATTATTATTATTATTATTATTATTATTATTATTATTATTTTTATTCAACGTAGAGTACTTTTCATCCCATCCAATACTCTGATTTTGATGAGGTAAACTTATCAAGGTTAAAGGTTTTAATAATCAAATTGAAATAGCGGGAATATAATGTCACAGTTTTGTTACATTTCTTAGATCAGCAATGAGTAAGACCATTTGTTCGAGGTCTTTACATTATTTTCATCATTCACCTTCTTGAATGCTTGCCTTCTCTCACAGAGTTCATTTAATATTTAACTCTTTTTTTCATACTGCTCCCCCTTCTCTCTCTCTCTTTTCAGATCTCATTTTGACCATATTTGAAAAAAAAAAATCTGCCAGGTATTATTTGTTTGATTTTTATTTTTTCAAAAAGAAAAAATCAACATTGGTTAGTGATGATGTCATTACAGGAAATCCGGGGGTTGGGAGGGCTAACGAGCGCTCGGAGTCAGCTCTTTCGCCGAGGGACGTTAAGTTTGATCACCGACAAGGTCATCATAGGTCATCAGTTCTTTGCAGATTTGTAACACGTTGAATACATTAACAAATGTACAAAGACAAAGTATGCAAATTTAAATGCTTATTTATATCACAATACCTCTTTATGTGTCAATCTTAAATTCAAATTTTGTTTGAAATTACAGGATGAACCGCTTTGAGCGCCATAAAACTGTTTTGCAATTTGTTTCATGTTCAAAATTTTACTGGATTTAAAGTCTATCCACAAAATCGAATCTAAATACTTTGATCTATGAGAAAAAATCTATTTATTTTTTTTCTTATTGACCAAGGCAAGACGTGTACCTGAATAGATATTTATTCTTTGTAATTGACTCGGCATAAGGTAGTGTTGTCTCACAATTAACTCTTAAACATTAAACATTTAAATTGCATAACCTCGTTTGCCAAAGAAACCTTTCACTTCTTAAATACATTGTACGTTTTCCAGTTGTAGAGACTTGCAGTTCAGAATTTTGTACAGTTTTCATGACTCCCTCTTCCCGCCCCCAGCGGGGATGAAAAGTTCTGTCATAATTCACCTACAAGGGGAACTTTTTTTGGTATATGATTGCGTTCGTGATTAGTTCGCGTCACTGCAACGAAGATAACAAGTATGACGGTTTATTTCTGATAATTACAGAAAGCGAAAAAAAATGAAGTAAAGTATTGCGACCCAATTCATAAACGCGTGACATCATAACATAACGTCAACGATGAGCGTAGAGAATTTGTTGATCTTGTTTTATGTGTATGATGCATTCGTTGTGGGACCCGCGGCGTGGCGACAGTGGATCAAGCTATTGTGGATCGATTTCTAACAGAGTATGGAAACTTGAAAGTAGTTTTTTTTAAGTTCAGATATACATGTAGTGGGTTTGAATAGGCACATTGTATACTTATTCAGAATAAGTGTGCTATTTCTAGCACAAGTGAAAAAAACACCTCAAGTAGATAATTTCAACAGAGAAGTTAAAAGGTTAAAGCGACGTCTGTCAAGAACAAATCGCAAAAGAATTCATTCAAGCGCGCTATTTCAGTCTGTCTTATTCCACTGGCACAATTTTAGCCGTATTACGAAGAGGACATTCCAAAGGATGTACATATGTACTTATTTCAATCTCATCTTTTTTCAGATATTTCTTTTACGTCATTCTGCAGAATTCAGTGGCAGCAAGTACTGGAAGCCAATGATTCTTTAGCCACAATATGTCTACAAATGACCACAGGAACTCTCAGCAACAATATGTAACTAAAATTCGGATTAAGTAACCATGGCAAAGTGTTTTTGTGTATTTGAAAGGGAATTAATTCACGTGCTCTTCTTAACTGTTATAATTTCAGGTAAGGCATTTTATTTACCTGCATTAAAATATAAACGATATTCGGTGATTAAATGGAATTCTTGATTTGACACTTGTAGAGACTTTGTGATTGATGTTGAATATCTAGGAAGTTGACCTGTATTGTTTGCATTCACAAGATTAATTTATTTGGTATCGATTTCAGAGCTTTAATGTCTTTTTTTTGACAGCTAAATTTATTTGCAACAAGGGATTTCGATCAGTCGTGTTGAATAAGCAAGTTCTGCTATCAATGGGATCTTCAGTATCATCTATGATGAATAAAGATAATCACAATTTAGAGTGTCGAATTCATAAACATTTCAACGATAAATTTAGAAACATGCATTTTTTGCCCAAAACATGGTTGAAATTGATCGATTTAGAGACTGCGATTCTCTTTTATTATTCGTTTTGATTGAATATCATTAATTATAATTGTCTTCACTTTTTATCCTGACATATTAAAGCCGTACAATGAATTAAATTTAGTTTGAGACTCAAACAAACAAACCGAGATGCGTTTTTAATTAGTGCGACTACACCCAAGGAATTTCATAGTATGTTTAAGTTTTTATTTCATTTGTTTATAAATGCGTGGACATTTATTTATGAGATCTCAGAATATATATATAAACATTAAACGTCTCCCAATCACAATATAAGCAAATTATTAAGAAGTTATTTCCACGTGTAATTCTTCCGTGTGTGAGCCGTAATTGATTTCGTTTGTATATACCTTCAACTGTGTCAATAATCTCCTTAAGATCGACAACAAATAGGGCAGATCTGAAGATATCTTATGTTGCAACAACAATACAGCGACCTATTGAATTATTTTCGCTTCAGTATGTTTATTTGCTAGATGAAATGAATTTTGTTGTACCCCCAGATGTTGATACTTGTGGAATGTATAAGAACACGTCATTTTCTGGTCTACATTGTGTAGAAAATACAAACATCCGTCTTAAGTTTCTCTTTCGTTAATCCCAGTTGTCAGCATGTTTGTCCGTAATGAAAAACACAAAACCCTATGTACAACAATTGTGGATTGTATGTAAAGGATGAGAATATGTTGATTCCTCCTTTACAACATTATCAGTGCACGTGGTCGATCCCTCGAGATGCCTTTCCATGTCCGTCCAGTGTCATAAAAATGTTACTCAACGGGCTTTTAAAGTTATTATGATTTCACGGATTGTTAAATCATTAAAAAAAAATAATTCTACGGGTTATTTATAGGGTTCTATATCAACATTTGGCACACTCATAAATAAAGGATGTCTCCGTGATTCATAGATCCTGAAATGATTGTAATTCCCAATACAAAATACTGCTTTAGATTAATGAAACTATATCAATTAATTTTCAACATGCACCCACAAGTTCAAGTTGATTATAACATTCAACGGGCAGAAATGAGAGAATTAGCAAATTCTAAATTTTCTGGAGGTTTATCGTTAATTGAAAATAAAAACCCAATAATTCTAGAGCTGAAAAATTTTATGACTTAGCAATAAAAGTTCATATCCGTATAATAACACCCTTCTCAGTAAAATTCTAATCATAATTGCGTTTTATTGAATATCTTTTTTCATTTCTCGACGAAGAAATTTTTGTGAGAGATTTACAGGTAGGTCCTTCTAGGAAACCATGCTTCATGCTTGTTACATTTCAGCAACAACTGCTTTATACACTGGCGGATTTAAAGGGGGATCCCCCCCTAAAATTTCCAAAATTAGATTACATGTATGTAAATACAACAGGGAAAAACTGTTGTGATATTAGAATGTGCATACCAAAATAATTTGAAATAGATAAATTATTAAATACAAGATTTGACACTCTTGCAAAAGCACATTACGTAGATTACTTTTCTGGCAATCAAAAATTCTTAAGACATTTTCCTATTATAGAAGTCACTCTGCCTGTCTCACAAATTCTTTTAAACGCCTTCATTGACCTCGGTAGAGTGATTTTGTTTACAGGTAAAAATATGACGATCGTGGAAAACAAGTCCAAAAGTAGCGCACGTTTTGCATATGTAAAGCTCTGTGATCTTCTAACTAATTTTCTGCAGCAAGTTGCAAACATGTTTATCATAGCAGTTAAGTTTGAATGTTCTGTTTTACGTTAATAAGATGAAATTAAGACGGAAATAAATATTGAATGTCCGACTAAAAGGACGCTCATTATAATTGAAACAATTTTGACAGTTTCACACAGTTTTACGAAAAGTAAGATACTGATAATAATATACATGACTGTATTTTTTTTTTTATTGTCTTCGTCATTTGCACAGGAAAGTCATTCTGACTCAGAAATCTTGCATTATTTTTGGTTAACATTTCCTTAAGTTATTTGTAAAAACGAGAAAGGGTGAATTGAGACGAGAGGCGTCACCACACATGATGAAAAAAGGGGGAATCAAATCCAAGCAATATATATATATATATATATATATATATATATATATATATATATATATATATATATATATATATATATATATATATATTGATAAGTAGATTGCCTCAAATCATAGTTCAATGGACTAAAAAGAATTGATTTTTGCATGATTTGATTAATGATGCTAGAATATGTATGTAGGAGGAGCTATACTACATCTATGAAGGCTACCTATAAGGTAAAATTTTTACTAGTACTCCTAAAATTATTAAATTTCAGGAGCTTAAGGGGGGTTCGCCCCCAGAGCCCAGTCAGAATTCAGCCCAGAACCTACTGGACACCTTAACGCGACCCCAGACCCCCGGCCTTTAGGGAAAAAAAATCTCACTTCCTCCGACTCAATTTCTGTTGCCACTAAACAACAAAATTGTCATCCTTCGTCAATAACTTCCAAATTTAAAAAAAAAAAACAGCAACAAAAACTTGCTAAAAACAAGTGACACACACACACAAAACCAAGCTAAAACTTTTATTTTTCTCTACAGAAACTGCCATCGGCTATCGCTCATTGAAACTAACACTGGTTGCCTTAAAAATTGTCACGTGTTTACCATTGTTGTGGCCTGCTGATATATTGCAGGACTTTTAATACATTTCTGCACTGCGCAGTACAGTTAAGGTGCGCAATGGAAATATCGGCATTTTTGTGATTAAAAAGATATTCTTAATCAGGATGGCGATTCTTTTCAGTACTTTATTGATTTCCGACAAATGTAATTATGGTTAATAACTACATATTGAAGACGATAAGATTTTATATTTAGACTTGTCACGTGATGCGGCAGTCACGTGATATAACACATATACATGTACTGGCAATATTGAGGTCACCTATAAAATTCACTGGTGCAAGGGCATAATCAAGTTAAAATTCTAAATTTAGAGTATAAATATTTTCAACACATATCGAAGTGTCTGAAAAATGCTGCGATCCTCTATAGATTCTGCTATTTCATTGTTAAAATCATATATATATGACCGCATTCTGTATTTTTTGCTGGTCAACGGCATTAAATATAGATATAATTAATTCATTTTCAAGATTTCATCAGGATCGCAGCACTTTTCAGATACCTTAATACTTCTAGAGTTTATATGTAAAAGCTTACTGTGATCCATTGAGTGTATGCCCTTGCACTAGATCGATTTATTAAGACCCTTACATTATCCTCCGATGTACTTGCATACAAATATACGGTAGTATAAATTAAATAGGAAATATACGGAATATATATAAATAAAATCATAAAGAAGACATCGCATCCAAGTTAATGGCCTCTTAAATATCTTTAAATAATATTTTATTTAATTATAGGATACATTTTTCGGTGTTAAAATATTTCTTGATCCGCCTCTCACTGCAAACAAACTGCGTCAGGTTTTACGAAATGACGTCACATCGACAAGTGCATCGCGATCAGTGACTTGTTAATATATTCGATCAGTGCATATTATCTATTCAAGATATATTACTAAAGTCAGGTACTCTTCACACAATTGTTCCGAAGAAAATAGTTCCATTCATGATCAGTAGATAAAAATTACAACAAATATTAAGAATAATCATGTATATTTAATACGTTAAAGAAAACAAAATTAACGTTAAAAGATTTTCAGAAAATCACTTTTTCCCCAGAAAAGCAAATAAAAAGTTTTCATATTCCTACGCTCGCTGCCTCCTCAGTCTTTTTCACGAAAATATATAGGTCACACTTCGATTGATAATGATAAATCTTTTCACCAATTATATTACTGTCATAATTTGTTCGTTAATTGCCGTATATTTTCTTTTGAGTTAGAATGTTAATCATTAACTGTGTGTGTGTTTTTTTTCTCTCTTTTTAATATATTCGATCAGTGCAAATTATCTATTCAAGATATATTACTAAAGTCAGGTACTCTTCACACAATTGCTCCGAAGAAAATAGTTCCATTCATGATCAGTAGATAAAACATTACAACAAATATTAAGAATAATCATGTATATTTAATACGTTAAAGAAAATAAAATTATCGTTAAAAGATTTTAAGAAAATCACATTTTCCCCAGAAAAGCAAATAAAAAGTTTTCATATTCCTACGCTCGCTGCCTCCTCAGTCTTTTTCACGAAAATATATAGGTCACACTTCGATTGATAATGATAAATCTTTTCACCAGTTATATTACTGTCATGATTATTGTTCGTTAATTGCCGTATATTTTCTTTTGAGTTAGAATGTTAATCATTAACTGTGTGTGTGTTTTTTCTCTCTTTTTTTAAATAACGGAATGGTTATTACGGCTAAACACAACGTGATATTCCGAGCTCGGAAAGATCTTCGCACGTGTGTAGACCTAGGCTATTTGGTCTTGCAAGAACAGGTGTGTGCACCGTTCCCTAGTGACGCTTAGATCAGTAGACTGGGTATCAGTACTTGCTACGGACATAAAGAAGTTTAGAACTTAATACACCAGTTTCATAACAAGTGCAGGTTTTTTACTCAAGGTGAAGCCCTAGATTGGGCTAGAGGGGCTGAGTTACGGTCATCGAT